ATTGACGTAATGGTCCGTAAGAACACCTATAATGATAGGCTTCTTAGAAAGGTATCTTGGCACATTTTAACAAAATTTACTCTACAGCCTACTGTAGTTGCAATACAATAATATTTTAATTAATATTTTAATTAGCGTTACAAAGAGCTAATACCTCGCATACAGTATATTGAGCGCCAGGATGTTAACCGATTGAGTACTATATTGAAACTTATTGAACAAAATGTAGTGTTAATCGCTTCGAAGGGTCGGTTTAATTCATTAGTCAAATATTACTCAAACTATGATTTGATGGCATCGAGTGATACACTGGATATGTATTTGTATGGCATTCCTATGCGAAAGACTGTGTCTCAAGAATTTAAGATACAATTCAGGAAAATGTTTGTATTTCTTAGAAAATTATTTGAAAAGTATTAAAACAGATGAATACTCAGGAATTAAGCTTAACTTATAAAAGCTTTAAATATTTTTGTTGCTGACGACTAAATATTAAATTCTTTACTATATAAAGTGTATGAGTTTAAGTTAAAAATATTTTAATATTTAGTCAGCAATAAAAATATTTAAAGCCTTCATTTGTTTGGAAACTTAAGATTTGTGTTATATGTTTACAGTTTGAAGTGTCTATACGAGTCTGGCATTGAATACTATAAATCATCACAAATTGTGACTTCTGCCTTATATATGGATTATTTGGTTCATAATATTAGTGCCGATACTAAACATGATTTTAATGGAAATGATTTTAAAACAAAGGATTTTTCTTTAAATGTGAAGCAATTGTTGATATCGTTTGTTATATTGATTGTAGGCATTACTTTATCTATTATTGCTATTATTTTTGAAATAAGTGTAAATTATTTAATACAAATTCTTCTTATTATAAATGTTAAACTACTTATTTAAAATTATAATAATTACATTGTAACAGTTAAATTTAATTTTACTAATGTTAAAATTTTTCCATTGTTATTCATATTTACTATTATATAAAATAATTAGTTATTCATTTATACAATAGTATTTTGTTCTGTTATAACAGTGTCCATGTTAATTTTAATGAATATTTGGACCGTTAAGCAAATGAGAATGCTACTAAAGTAATAGTCAAATTGATAACAAATTCTATGAGCATGGTCGATTGAGTCACTTGGTTCAGGGTGAGTAATGTCGATTGAATAATTAGTACAGCATAAGTACAATACATGCGAGTACTCGGGGCTCGAAATATGCACCAAACAACCCTGTTGAGTATAGACCACAAACCCTTAGGCATATTACGACCAATATGATTATGAAAGCCTTTGTGTTTAAAATATTGATATTAAAAATAATCATAATTTAGAATAAGAATTGTGATAAAATATTTTGTGCAAGATAACTTACCAAAATCCTTAAACATAAGTCTCATTGAGAGGACAATATAGTATAAAATTACGATTATGTGAAAATTGTTGATGCTAAATTTAATTATGAATGCTTTTTTAATTAAATGCTATAACTATTACGGATATCTATTATGATAGGTATTGTATTCCGCATTTAATTATATTAATTGGCATAACTTGAATGGTAATCAATTGACTTTTTAGTATATTAACGAATCAATAATATTTATTTTATTATACAAATATTTTTAGAAAATTGTTTAATTTAAAAATAAACACTATTAAAATAATTTGCGATATTTTATAAAATTATAAGATTTTCGTTTAATAATAAGGTTCTTGTTAATTTGAAATATAAAGTTTATTTTAAATTTAATACAATATTCTATAATTCAAAAACAGTTATATTAAAGAATAGTCAATATCTGGCATATATTAATAAGCAAGTATTATATTAAACTGGTTGGACATTGCATTAACTTATATTTTATGCAATGAATTATTTTGATTAATTTAGTCATGTATCAATATTATATATTGAGTTATACAGGGTATTGTCCGAGTTCACGAAAAGTGGCATTTTGAAATTTTACCCTTTTTGCAATCATTTGCAAATGAAAATGCCAGTACACTAATCAAACCATTTATTATGAATTCCACAATTGGAACTGGCGCATTTATGCTTAGTACTGCTGTTAGGACACTAAGTACGCCATAAGTAATGGTGAGTCCGTAGTGCTCATTATAAGCACCAAATGTACCAGCTAAACTTAAACCAACTTTAACCAGACACTCTATCAATAGGACATCTGTTATACCAATCTATATGACCAGTGTGAATTTAAATAACAATAATTATATTTAAAGTTATATTCAATATTAAATAAATGTTGATTTTATTTTTATGTATGCTCACGACACATTTATCAGTAGTTTCTGTTATCCATATGATAGCCACAATTGTATAGAATAATTGCAAACTCTGTTGAAGCAAACTCATGGTAACCAAGGTCCATTTTTTGCATAGAAATCCAGTACTGTGACGAATATCCATTATGTAAATATAAGAAAAAAATTTGTTATTAATAAGAATATAACAATAATATTATTTAAAGTTAAATTAAATATCAAATAAATGTTGATTTTATTTATATATATGCTCACGCCAGATTAATCAGTAGTTTGTGTTATCCATATGATAGCCACGATTGTATAGAATATGCTGTTGAAGCAAGCTCATGGTAATCAAGGTCCATTTTTTGCATAGAAATCCAGTACCAATATCCATTATATAACTATAGGAAAACAATTTGTTATTATTAATAATAATATAACAATTTTTAATTCATTATAACTATATACTCCCTACAAGATATACAAACTAATTTAATTTTTTAATACCAATTTAAAACAATATAAGTTACACAGTTAAAATAAATTGGTCACACCTAAACTAATTGTAAGCAAAATGTCAATTAATATGGAATTTATACAATATGTAAATGAAATATAAATCCTATAATTTATGAACATTTTATTAGATTACTTGATAGTAGATTTTCATAAAATAATATTATAAAAGAATAAATTAAAATAATTTCAAAATAATTTTAATTTTAACGATATTTAATTTTAGGAAATTTTTTTACCAGGTGATATTATTATTTACAAATCATGTTACTGAATAATTATTTATGGTACTCTAATGATGAACTAATTTAATATAATGAAATACACCAATATTTTATTTAAATTGTTTTAGTTTATTTTGTTTTACTAAAACTGGTAAGGCAGTTTTCACAAGTATATGAAATAAATTTAATTGTAATGTAATTTATAATATTTTTTGTATTATTGTTTGTTAAAAGGGTATATCTATTTTTAATATTTTTATATAACTATTGTATATAGTACTATAATTAAATGTAAATAACAAATAAATTGTAATTAATGATAACAATCAAATTTAATTAATTGTTTAAATATTTTGTACAAAAGAAAATTTAATAATGTAAATTTAATTCTAAAAAATTAATTTAATATTTTGTTGAAAATCTATTATCTATATTGAAATTATTCATATCTTTTATGTGAATAAACAGTATTTAAATGTTAATAACAAATAAGTTATAAATATACAGATGATAAAAATAAAATTTAATTATTCGTTTAAAAATTTTTTATTTAAATAAAATATATAATTATATCATTGCTATAGTAACCAATGTGCTAAATAAACAAGTTTTACTTATCATAATTAAACAAATGCGATATCATAATATTACATAGTTTGAAAATAATGTTAAGAATTATTGCTTCTTAATTATTAATCTAGATTCTAGAAAATACTAAACATAAGCTATATACAATTAAATTAAACTTAAAATTTATAAAATTTAATTAAAATGTTTGAAAATCACAACAGATTTTGTATTAAATTAAATGAAACCAATCTATACTCGCATTCAAATAGTAATATCAATGATATTATAATCACCCCTGTTCATAATGTTGTAAATATTTGTTTTAAATTAAATGAATTTTAAAATATCTTTATATTATTTTAAGGTTATTAAGGTCATTGACAATTTAACCTTATATTGTGGTCGATTTAAATATCTCCTAGATATTATTATTCAAAAATGCAGCAAAAGGTTTGGACAATGATAATGAAAAACTAGTTAACATTTTGCTTGCTTATGATAATACCTTTATTAAGGGTTGTATTCAACTTAGTCTACGATAAAGTCGGTAGTTATCTATTGCCTAACGGCTCATGGAGTGGAGCACTCGGTCTCATACAGAGAAATGTATAAACATTTTCCTAAATAACTTATTTTTAATACACTTGCAAATTTGCTTACAGGTTTCTGATTTGGCTATGGGTAATTTTGTAAACACTTATTACAGGGACACTTTGGTAGACTTCCCGCATCTGACCCCCGACTCGTCCCGACTAACTGTCATTAGTTCACCGAAATATTACGCAAACAACGAGTTGTTTAAACTATTTAATACATTTAAACTCGAGGTGTGGATAATAATTGGCCTTATTTTTGTAACAATTTGTGGGATAAATGGTCTGAAAACATGTCTTGACTATTTTAGTCTACTTTTAGGCAAAGGTATTATACAGTAATTGTATATAATTTAGAAAGACAAATACCATTATCAAATTAATTGATTAATTAAATTGACTGGTTATTTAAGGGATTCCTATCAAACATAATCACAATAAATGTTTGATCGGTGTCTGGGTATTGGGTTCACTGATACTCATAAACTATTTCGAAAGCGATTTACAGGCACTGGAGGTATCGGAACAGACACTCAAAATAGAGTCCATTCAGCAGCTAATTGATAGACAAGACATCGATGTAATGGTCCTTAAAAAGAACATTATTGATAGGTTACTTAAAGATGTATCTTGACACATTTTAACAAAAATTACTTTAACTGGTAAGTAGCAATAAGATTTTAATGTTTTAATTAATTTTTAATTAGCGCTACAAAGAGCTGATACCTCGCATACAGTATGTCGATTACCAGGATGTTTACCGATTGAATACTATATTGAAACTTATTGAACAAAATGTAGTGTTAATTGGCTCGCGATTAATGTTTAATACAATTAGCAAATATTACTCAAACTATGATTTGATGGCATCGAGTGATACACAAGATATGTGTTTGTATGGCATTCCTATGCGGAAGACTGTGTCGCAAGAATTTAAGATACAATTCAGGAAAATGTTTGTATCTCTTAGAAATTTCCTTTATTTTAGTTTTCAATATATTTTTATATGTTTACAGTTTGAAGCGTCTATACGAGTCAGGCATTGAAAATCAT